CACTGGGTGTTATGCACAAACAATGAATCATGGAACACTACATCAAAAACTAATGATGTAATGTATGGTGATTAACATAACAATAAAAAATTAAAAAAAAAACAACGCAATTCTACAGAAAAAACTTAGAAATGACCCATGTGTTAAAATCATGAGAGAGGGAATTCTAAATAACTATGATTAATATGTTTAAGCTCTTATGGAAAAGGTGGACAAAATGCATGAACAGATAGGGAATTTGAACAGAGATGGAAATTATAAGATAAAGTCAAATGGAAGTTTTCTCAATAAAAAACTTTGTAAGATGGTTACCTGGGTGGCTCAGTCTGCCTTCAGCTCAGGTCATACCTTAGGGTCCTGGGATCAAGCCCCACACAGGGCTCCCTGCTGAGCCAGGAGCCTGCTTCTCCCTCTCCCTCTTCCCCTAACCCCCACTCATGCTGGCTTGCGAGTGCACTCTCTGTCTCTCAAATACATACATACATACATACATACATACATACATACATACATACTTTGTAAGAGAGCTAAAGAATGTTTTCAAATGGGCTTATTTGTTAGTAGACTAACAAAGCTGAGGAAAGAGTCCATAAATTGGCAGATGAGTTCATAAAAATTACCTTAAACTGAAACACAAAAAGAAAAGAGTAGGAGGAAAAAAGATAAAATGCATACAGGTACAGCCTCTTTGGAAAACAGTCTATCAGTTATATACTTATGACTCAGCAATCCCACTCCTAGATATATTTACCCTAAAGAAATGGAAACGCAGATTTACACAAAGCCAGTATGTGACTGTTTGTAGTGCTTTTATTCGTAATTGTCAAAATGTGGAAACACCCAAATGTCCCTCCACTGCTGAATGGATAAACAAACTGGTACAGCCATACAATGGAATACTATTCAGAAAAAAAAATTAAATACCAACAAAAGCAATGGTGGAAACAAATATCAAGCATTACTCTCTAAGTGAAAGAAGTGGCACTCAAAAGGCAACATATTTATGATTCTATTTATATGACACTTTGGAAAAGACAAAACTAACAAGAACAAACAAAATCAGATTACTGGTTGCCAGGTGCTGGTGGTGGGATGAGGGGATGACCAACTACAAAAGAGCATACTAGAAAATATGAAGCGTTAAGGAAATGCACTGTATCTTGATGGTGGTGGCAGACCTTTGTCTAATCTCACAGAACTGTATGCTAAAAGGATGAATTTTACCATATGTAAATTATACTTCAGTATTTAAAAAGTATTTTCTTGTAAACTATTTTTGTGTCAGACTTGTATTTTAATAATTACACAGTGTGAGATTGCCTTAATTAGATTTGACATTTTCCAAATTTAAAAAAGTCATTAGAGAAGATTATTCTGGCACTTGATCTAAGATTGAAATGCATGATCTCTATAATCCTCTCTAGCTCCAAGGTTTTTTTGAGGTATGAGATTCCCCAACCTCACACACACAAATTTTACATATATAGAAATTTATGTTTTTATATTTATAATTTATATATGTATAAATCTAGATATGTTCATGGTTATATTTATGTTTACACTATATACAAATGTAAATATACACACAAAATTTTGAATATTCTTCAGTATTATGATCTTTTATACATATTTGTATTTTCTTTTTTCCTTACAACATATGTGTAATCAAAAAAAGGTTCCTATTTTACTTATAAAGTATATACTGTGCAACAAATTAAGAAAATGAGGAAGCAGGTCATATGCTAGTCTATACAAATCTGTAATTCCTAGTATAAGAAAATACAAATAGCTCATTTTATTAAATTGACATGTTTGATATATTAAAATATTTAAAGAAAGGGAGAAATTTGCCCTTACGAAGGTGGGGTGTGGAGCATTTTCTTCATTCTAAAAAAAATCCTAGGAAACCCTGCTTTCCCCATCTAAAAAAGTTTTTCTTAGCTCTTTCCTGCATTCATATTAGAAACTTCTTTGTTCATACCTCTGAAATATATCCTCTTCAAGAATGTGCTAATAGAAATAGGATGAAGTCCTACCAGGAAGCTGAGGACGGACGGTCTGGGATGGCCCTGCAAGCTCTTCATCCTCACTGCTCCACTTGTCTCTTAGAAAGGAGCCACAGGTGGCCAATATGCTCTCACTCTCACTAGAAAAGAAATTTATGTATTTGTTCATGGTTTCAAAGAATATATACATTCATGAAAGAATCTCTGATAATCTATATTAATTATTCAGTTGACATTCATCTCCATTTTAGTTCAGCTCTGTACTTCTGTTGTCAGCCCCTGGAGCTGGCCCACTTCCAGAGATCATTCCCAAGTCCCAACGTCTGATCACAAACTCCATCTCTTCCCACATTTGCCTGGCTTGCAAACTAGCCATCTTGGATCAACTAGCCTCCTTTACCCTGGCTGTGGGGGAAAAGTACTGAGGTCACTGGGGTTTCCAATATCAACAGAAAGCCATCCGTAAAACACTGGTATGTCCCTGTTGAGTTTCCTCTACCTTTCTTCCACGGCAGCTAATTCTGAACCACCATCCTCATGTAGACCCTATCTTAATTCTCTGCCTTTGTAAAAATGTAGCCCCTTCTAGAAAATGTAAGCCAGAAAGCAAGAACACATTCAACTTACTTTTTTAAAATGTGTACTTGGATACATCAACATTTTCAATTATTCCTTACTTTCTCCCTGATCAGAATTAATCCTTCCATATTCAACTCCGTGCCTTCTGTCTCCTAGACACTTTTTCTAAAATTATCCTTTCTTATATACATAATTAATCTCCCCTATGTAAAAATTCTTCCATAACATAAGAATACTTGATTCTCCCTGATCTTAAAATTAGAAACCCTTTTCAACTTTCTATCTCTTAACAGATTTTCCTTTCAAATACTAGCCACACTCTCTGTCTGTTCCTTTCCAGCTTCTCACTATTCCATTTACTTGTTGCACTTTCATTTGCACCCCTACTTAACAGAAGCCTCCGAATGTGATTTCTGGTTCTAATCTCTGATGTTTAGAGAAAACTCTCCCTAAATTCAAATTTAATTCTACCTGCCCACCAACTTCAGGAAAAACCCAGGTCCCTCACAGAAGTTTAAGTTACTGGCAATCTGGCCCCTTCCTACTTTTTCATCATCAGCCCTACTAATCTCTTTTGTGCATCTTATGCTTTAACCTTAACAAAATAAATGCCTTTTTCTTCTGCTTCCATGAGTCATTTCAAGTTTCTTATTCTTTCTCCTCATCTTTTTTTGGATTACTATAAATATCTAATTGTTCCCCATTTCTTGCCAGATATCATCCACCTTGCTACCCGCCATCCTCTTCCTAGACAGGTAGACAGATATATGCATTAATACAAGAAAAATTCCATCTGTACTTCCTTTTTATTCTAACAAACTGACTAAAATATGCACTCCTTGGTTTCACGTATATCAAGTTCCTTCACACTCTGGCCCACATTATATTTTTGGCTCTACCTCTTTATCTTCTCAAGCTTCCTGGCATTCCAATTCACAGGTACCCTACAGCTCTTAACACATAACATTTCTCACCATTAATAAGATATTTTCACAACTTCTTATCTTTGTTCAAACTTCTTCCCCCAGCTTGACATTTTCTCCCCTCCCTTTTCCCCTGCTAGATTTCTACTTATTTAAGATCCTAAATCCAACCTAAATATTTTTTATTCAAAGAAGTTGGTGAGAAACTCCCTCCATGCATATTTCTGTCTTCTGTATTCACAATCCTTGGACTTTGGCTCTATAATAATACTTATTACATTGTATTTAAATTTGTCTTTTCAATATCTGTTTCTCTAATTAAACTATATAAACTAAAGGGCAAGAACTGTGTAATATTTTGCATTTGTATACAGTGCTTAGTATATAATTAGCATCTAATAATTGGTCTATACTATTAGCATATAATAGGATCTCAAAATGCCTTTTGAATTCTTATTTGTTCAGTGCACTTTTGAAAGTTGTATATGCAAGTTTTATACTATATACATTATTATGCGGTGCTATTCCAGTGACTACAGCTAATATTACTTATAAACCTCTGGAAATATGGCTCATTAAAATGTTCTCTTCTTTGATATGATTTTAACATATAACACCTAAATTTGAACATTTTATAAGCATGAATGCTATTGTTTTTGTTTTTCTAATGGAAATTTATTTTCTCTTGGTTCTTTAAATGTTTTCATATATAGTGCCAAGAATTCACCATGCTAACAGTTCTACTGTTTCTAGCACATTATTTTCTTTCTTGGAAACCTATATAATTTGTAGCAGAATTAAGTGTATCCTGTGCTTTACCTTACCTCAAGTATACTGCCTTCTCCAAAGCTCCCAACACATTTACAAAGACTCTGGAACTGTATAATTCTTGAGATGACAGAGAAATTAAATTCTTTAGGAGTATCTTCTTCTTGTGTTAATACCATATTTATGAGATCATAAATACATCCAATTTCTAGCCAAATCAGGTTGTACTTACTACAAAGAGTTATCTCTTGAGAAACTAATCAAACATTTGAGGGCCGTTATTCACTGTCTCCACTGACAGGGCTATGAGCATGAATATACAGAAAGCTCACTAAATAAGCATATTGGTTATACCTTTCTGTAGCATCTTTAAAAAGATCATCGTAATTACTGCGTTGGAAATTCTGAACAGAGCGGTTTACTTTCCCTGAGCTATCTGCATTTTCCAAAACCTATGGGAATAAGAAAGAAAAGAAAATTATGGCTATGATTTTAGGAATGTATAGTTTAAAAGAAATATGATTTCTATAGCTTCTTAAAAAGAGCAATAAAGTCTTCAATAATAGAATTAAAACCACAATCACAGTGTGATTTTCACTTCTAGAAAATCACCTGAAATGTATTGCTCCCCATTAAATATTTTACAATCTGTCAAAACAGAGTATAAAGTACTATGCACACACAAGTGAATTTTTATTGAATCACTCAAGTTATTTTCCAAAAGTTGATAAAAATAAGCTTCATTTTCAATTAAAAAAACTTATCACTGTAGCCCAGAGAAGACTCTTATAATGAGTACTTATCACATTTGGTTTACTGTAAACACAAAATTCTTAGCACTATCTTTATTTTAGTGCTTATATAATCTAATCCAGTAATTCTGTCTCTGCCATTAGATTTTGTACTGCACCATAGACTTCAGTCCATTCTGTTGCATTCAGAGTCCTGCATTATTAAAAAAAAAAAAAAAATTGAGTGTAGAGGGAAAAAAAAATCACATTAAAATAAAGATTCAGTAATTCTGCTTCAATTAATCCATTCATTTGACAATTCTTTTCTGAGGACCTAGTATGCACAGATACTGCTCTAAGTGCTATGGATAAAACAATGAAGAAGAGAAGTGTGTGTTCTGCCCTTGCGGAGCACATATATTCTCATGAGGAGAAAGAAAATACACAAGCAAACATACAAATTAACAGCTGGTGGTGTTAATGCAGTAAGAGAGTATGGTAATACACAACTGCCCTGTACCTAAAAGACAAAAGGAAAAGCTAAACAAAGAGAAAGGGAAGCATACTGAGCAAAAAAACAGCAGATCCAAAGTCCAGGCAGCCTTCCATGGTCTGGCCTCTGCCTAACTGACCACCCTCATCTCATACCTACTTCTCATGCCACATCTCAAGCCATAGCCCATACCATGTCTTTTCATCTTTTCTGAAGTGTCTTTTGACGACTCTGACTGTGTAGAACTTCTTAATCTTTCCCCTCTTGCTAATATGTTTACACGTGCACTTGTGTGTGTGTTTTGCTTATTCCATGAAACTTCGTAGACCTGGAATACCTCTTGTGGGAATACATACAGCCATCATTTCAGAACATGGACCCAAACACAATCAATTTTAGAAACAAGCATGTTAATGGAAAGATATAAACAACTACCCAGCACTCTTACCAAGCGTATTCATTTGGCTGAACAAGTCAAAACATAACTTACTAAGTTTTTAGCCTAACATGAATAAGAATTACTTGAAATATAAAGTTAACTTATATTTTAGTAGTAGTTTGCTAAATATATTAAATTCTAGTGGATTAGCTAATTGGCATTTTGAGTAATATATAAAACATAAGAAGTCCTTCCTTGTGCTGAGCATAGCCCCAACATACAGAGTTGCTGCATCACTGTGTCGGACACCAGAAACTAATGTAACATTGTGTTTCAACTATACTCAAATGAAAATAAGTAGAAAAATAAAAATTAAAAGAAAAATTATTAAAAAGTCCTTCCCTATGCGAGTAAGAAAAATACCAACTCTCAAATATTTTTACAAAATTTTTTAACATTTGCTTTTAATATTTGGGGATTTAATTCACCTAGATTCAATTTTAGTGTAAAGTATACCCTGCCCACTCTGCTCAACCACCAACAGTGACCTTGTATTCTACTGGACATTCACAAGATCCAGTAGGCCACACCCGGTATCAGATGAGCTTTGCAAAAGGATACAGGTGAAGAGTCACATGTCAGCAGGACAGCCTTAGACTTGCCCTCATCAGGAGTCCTAACAGCATTCTAGTGTAAGCTCAGGTGTGATGCAATGAGACCAGATGGATGTGTACCAAGGTCCCCCTGGCTTAGAAACCTCAAGTTACACAGGAACCAATATCTCTTATAATAATTCATGAACCTAACCTCAGGCTCACAGCAAGGGGATTCCCACATTCACCCCATTTGTACTCTCAACAAGACATTATTGTCCTGGTCATAATCCTCCCAGTCCAGGGGTCATTTTTACCATAACCAATGCACCTGGTAACACAGCTGATAGTCCACCTTTATCAGGTTTTCAGAGAAACAGGGTCCTGGAAGGCTAACACAAGATCATTTCCTCAATGGGAAGAAAAGGTTCTGTTCACCTTTACTCACAGGTAGTAATGCATTTTATTTGTCCTACTGAAATAACCAATTGTATCACACCATTAACTGAGCAGACCACTGTAGAAATTTACAATGTCACCTGTCACATAAAAAGTTCCCATATGTGTATGGGTCTTTTTCTGGAATTTCTATGCAGTTTCATTGGTCTTATTTGCCACTTCCTATTGTATTACCACATTTCTTTAATTCCTATATAGCTTTATAAGCCTGGACAACCTGCAGTGCCAGTGGCCCCTCCACCACATATATATTCTTGCTTCCTTTCCTAATACTGTCTTGCCTATTTTTGACTTCCTATTTTCCCAAAATATTTTTAATCAGCTGATCAAATCTCATACACACACATACACACACACACACACTTTGAAAATTTTATTGAAATTAAGTTAAACTCATTTTGTAGTTTAAATTAGGGATAACTAGGACACTGGGTGGCTCAGTTGGTTGGGCACCCAACTCTTGATTTCAACTCAGGTCATGATCTCAGGGTTGTGGTATTGAGCCCCACCTCAGGCTCCATGCTCAGTGGGGAGTCTGCAGGAAGTTCTCTCCCTCCCTCTCCCTCTCACTCTGCCCCTCCTCCCGCTCTCTCTCTCTAAAATAAATAAATAAATCTCTAAAAATATAAATAAATAAATTAGGGATAACTATTTTCTTCATTCATTAAGACTTATTATCCATTAATATGATGTAGCTATAACAACAAAATATTTTTAAATATTCTCAAGAAAAGTAATTCATACCTTTTCTTAGATTGACTCTTACATACTTTATAGCTGGTACCATTGTAAATGTAATGGTGTAATCTATTATGGTAGATAATTTGATATTTGGTATACATGTGCTAACTACTGCATAATAAGAAAAACACACATTTTTATATATTGTAATTTTGTATTTATTCTATTATAAATATTTTAAATTTCCACTATGACCTCTTCTTTGACCAATGAGTTTTGAGTATGTCTTGAGTGTGTTTTATCTATTTGTGGTTGACTTCCAACTGAATTTCTTATGTCAGAGGCCACAGTCAGTACTATAAAGATTATTTGAAATTGGTTGAGATATATTTTGATTTGGTACATGGTAAATTTTTATAAATGGTCCATGTATGCTTGAAAAGAATGTATGTTCTCTAACTTTTGGATGCAAGTTCTATAGATATGTTTGTTCTATCTATCTGGATAATTTTTTTATAATTCTATACTCTTAACTATTGTCTATTCTTTTAATAAAAGATATCTTTTTAAATGGTCCACTATCATAGTGAATTTATCAATTCCTTCTTGTAATTCTGTCCAATACTGATTTATATATTCTGGTGCTTATAAATTTAGAATTTTATATCTTCCTTGTGAACTAAACCTTTTAGTATTATATAGTGACCTTTAAAGCTTAATACTTTATACTTTTAAGTCTTTTTGTCTGATATTACTATAGCTACATTAGTTCTCTTTTGTTAGTGTTGCTCTGGGTACTTTAATTCTTTTACTTTAAAACATCAAGGGAGGGGCACCTGGGTGGCTCAGTCATTAAGCGTCTGCCTTCGGCTCAGGTCATGATCCCGGGGTCCTGGGATTGAGCCCCGCATTGGGCTCCCTGCTCCACGGGAAGCCTGTTTCTCCCTCCTCCACTCCCCCTGCTTGTGTTCCCTCTCTCGCTGTCTCTCTCTCTCTCTGTCAAATAAATAAATAAAATCTTTAAAAAAAATAAAAAATAAAACATCAAGGGAAGGGACACCTGGGTGACTCAGTTGATTAAGCGTCTGCCTTTGGCTCAGGTCCCAAGGTCCTGGAATCAAGTCCCGCATCAGGCTCCTTACTTAGCTGGAGCCTGCTTCTCCCTCTGCCTGCCACTCCCTCTGCTTGTGCTCGCTCTCTCTCTCTTTCTCTCTCTCTCTGACAAATAAATAAGTAAAATCTTAAAAAAAAAATTAAATCTTAAAAAAAAAATCAGGGGTGTCCCCCAAAGATTTCTTCTCATTAAACTACACAGATGACCAACAAATTGAATGAGTTCTACAGAGTTTGCCTAGTTCTGAAAACTAGTTTATCAACACTGATTGGTAAAACAAATCCTTAAACACTAATTTCGGGAGAATTAAAAAGGATGTGAAGATTATGAATAAAATGGGATGGTGGAAAAGAAAGAGAATAGTACTACTGCACCAATACAATCCCTCTCATCTCCAACAAGACATGTTTAAAAAGCCATTTTCTTACAACTCAGTTACTAAGAAAAAGTGACATCACCTGGGCGGGAATTCCTACCATAATTTAAACCTGAGACATATTTCAAGTCACACTTTAAAATCAACTTGATTACATTTACCCAAGAAGCAAACTGCTTTAGATGGCTGCAATTCAAATTAAAGCCTCACTTAGGACTCTAATATGTCTTTGATTGAGTGAAATGTGATTTGGCTAACAACGTTAAGAAGGAGCAAGGAGAAATATACCAAATTACCAAGACGTCAGGTCTTTTTGGAGACTGCTCACTGAATCAAATTAATGTCAAATTAAAGAAAGGGCCAAATAACTTTTTCTGAGGAACTTAAGTTAGCTTTTCTGCACTGCATATATATGCCAAGGACATACGAGGACAAAGTGAAAGCAGTAATACTAGGACACAGGAGCCTGGTTTCTAGTCTTTGCTGTGATTGAAGAGCTGTATGATCAGAGACAAATCATTTCAGCTCTCTGGGACTTAGTTTCTTCACCTCTAAAATGAGTGTTGGAATAAAAATGTCTTGACCTAGCTTCCAAATCTAATCATCTCTAAGTCTGAGTCTAGATAATTCCTAGGGATAGCATCATAACTGAAAGGGCATCAAGTGGTTATAACATCAAATTAATTCATGAAATGTTAAGAAAAGCAAATCCCGGTAAAATCAGCTGGTTTTACCAACATGTTACTCTAAAAACCATCCAGAAATGTTCTCTAAGATACTCTTTTCTAAAATGAAACTTTAAAGCATATCAAAATTCATCCTAGATAGGTCAAGCCATAAAATATAGGGGAAAACAAACAATAAAATGTATTTAGTTCTAGAAGGGAGTCAAGTATGGACATTCTATGAAAGTGCTCACTTTGAAATTATCTCTCCTTCAAGTACAAAATCATTCTGATCAGAGAAAAGTATCGACAGTGGGGCTGAGAGCCCAGCAGTACATTCAGAATTAGAGACTGACAGCCAGAAATGTGATGGTAGACAGGCTCGATGCAGCACATTCCTATATGAGAGATCCCTTCAAAGCAGCAGCATGACTGTCAGTCCTGGGTGGAGAGGGCAGCCAAACTGGAAAACGGGAGAAGCGGTATCTGTTCTTGGTACTTACTCTGATCTCTAGTAACGCTGGAACCTACAGAATAGAATGTGAGTCTGAGAACAGCAACACGATGGCAGTCCCAAAGCTCCAGTAGATAAGAGAAAAAAATGCAAGCCACCCACATGATGAAAATGCATTGCTCTTTTTGTGCTCTAATCCTGGCAGTTATCTCCACAAGGAAGGAGACACATGTCAAGGTGAGAGTGTTTGCCCCAGATTTTCCCAACTCTCTACCTTTCCATAGTTTAGAGACACTGCACCATGCTGTCTCTATCATTTAAAAATTCCATCGATCAATATATCTAAAGGTGCTTCAAATTTTATATGAAATTCATTTTGTATCTCTATTAGTAGCACAAAATGAAATTGATGCCAAAATAAGTAAAATTTCCAGAATAGTACCAAGAGGTTTTCTTTAGAGTTGCAAAGAGTTCCACTCTTTCAAATTGCTATTTTGGTTGTCTTCAACATCAGAGGGACAGAGAACTGAGAATTAGTGTGCTAAGAGAACAAAATAGACCCCTGTGCCTTGGAGAGCTTACTCTGTGATTACACAGTAGCCACAATCATTTAGCAGAGATCCCTCTTCTAGTTTTACCTCATGAGTCACTGAGTTAGGTGTTTTTTCCTCACTTGATGAAGACAAAGTCTCATCACAGTCAGGTACCTTCTTATTTTTTCCTGAAAAAGAGAAGGGAAGAATTGATCAAATGAAAAGGGCTACACAGAGAAAGGTTGTGCCTTAATGAGAAAACCCAAGCTACACAAGGGGAATGTTCACCTACTTCTCCTATTGTACAGTCATCTCATCTTTATCTCCTATATTAATCACTTTTCTCCCTGCTTTAAAAAAATAACATAGCAAACATGATCCCTCTTCTAGGATCATCCTCAGAAAGTTAATTTTTGAGCAGTCCCTTTGTTCCTACTTCTGTATTACTCTTCAGGTAAATCCTAAATATACACAACTTCCAGAACCTATGCACTGGGTATCAAATAAGATAATTCTTCTGTTTTTTCAGGGCCTACTTCGTAGATAAAGAACAGTGTGTTACATAAATCTCACTTTAACTTCGTGAATTATTAACAATAAATAAATTAGCAATATGTTAATGTATATAGAAAGTCATTTCAGGCTTGATTGAAGAATAAAATATGAATCCTCCCTAAGAAAGTCATTGCTGCTTTTATTATAGGATCATTGCTAACCTGTTATTTTCACTGCCCAGAATATTTCAGATAGAAGCCAAAGGAGATAGTTTTCTCTGATCTTAGAACGAGCTTTCACAGTACTGTTCCCTATATCATGGCAGCCCTAACTATTATGGTTTAGAAATTTTGTGACATGGCATATTACAAAATCAACAATACAAATATAGTAAAAAAAATATACTAAACATATACTTTGGAAAGGAAAAAGGTCATTCCTTAATGTGTTAAAAAGGACAAAAAGAAATTGTGAACTATTATAACACAAGTTAATTTTATATGTATATATTATGAAATATCAATGAAAAAACAACATATCAAAACTAACATGAGTGGGGTGGAGCAAGATGGCGGAGGAGTAGGAGACCTGGATTTCATCTGGTCGCAGGAATTCAGCTGGATAGGGATCAAACCATTCTGAACACCTACGAACTCAACAGGAGATCGAAGAGGAGAGTAGCAATAACTCTCTGAACAGAGAAGCGACCACTTTCTGGAAGGTAGGACATCCGCAGAAGTGAATCCGAGGCGATATTGGGGAGGATAGATGGCGGGGGAGGGGGCCTCCGTCGGCCGTTTCTGGCAAGTGATAGAGCGGCAGAGCACAAAATCAGAACTTTTAGAAGTCGGCTCCACTGAGGGACGTCGCTCCAGTGGCTAAGCGGGGGGTGGAACCCTCGCAGGACAGTGTGGTCTCAGGACCCTCGGGGTCACAGAAAGACCGGGGGTGCCTGAGTGTGGCAGAGCTCCCAGGTATCGGAGCGGGGAAGCCGGCTGCAGAGACGGAGCCGAAGCGCGGGTTCTCAGCTCAGGGCTGCCATAAATTGTGATCTGTGGCCCAGTCGGGCCACTGCTCCTCCAGCAGGGACCCAACAAGTGGCAGATCAGGGGAGACCCCCCCTTCCTCCCCCAGGAGGAGCGGCGCGGGAGCGCACTGCAAGGATCTCCTGGGTTTGGAGACTCCACACGGGGTCAGGTGCCAGAGATAGAAACACTCAGTCACAGGCCGGGTGAGCACGGAGTGCGGCCGGAGACCAGGGACACGGGAGTGATTGCTTTTCTCTGGGGGCGCACTGAGGAGCGGGGCCCCCAGTTCTTGGCTCCTCCGGGCGGAGATTGGGAGGCCACCATTTTCACTGTCGTCCTCCAAAGCTGTACGGAAAGCTTGCAGGGAACAAAAGCTCCCAAGAGCAAACCCGAGCAGATTGCTTAGCCCGGCCTGGCAAGGTCAGGGCAATTCCGCCTCCAGCAAAGACATTTGGGAACCACGGCAACAGGCCCCTCCCCCAG